CCGATCCGGCCCGTTCCGACATATATAGCAGTGAGAGTATATAGAAGACTATATGCAAAGTTTCATTGAGATAGCTTTAAAACTGAGGGACTAGTTTGCGTAGAAACGGACAGACGGACAGACGGACGGACAGACGGACAGACAGACATGGCTAGATCGACTCGGCTGTTGATGCTGATCAAGAATATATATACTTTATAGGGTCGGAAACGTCTCCTTCACTGCGTTGCAAACTTCTGACTGAAATTATAATACCCTGCAAGGGTATAAAAACACACACACACACAAAACTATGCAACTATGCAAAAAACTGCAACGATATTAACAAACATATGTATTAAATTTATTGTTTAGTTAATAGTAAATTCCGTTGAATTTAAATAGAGTTTAAAAAAGTAAACAAATATTATTATGCGTGTAGTCAACAATCACCTCTAGGTACACGTATTTACCTTCCCCCTTTTCATTGTTTTGAATTGTTTGCCAGATTTCCCTTTGTTACACCCATTCTGTCGGACGCACTACGTCTCTGTGTTTTGTTTCATAGAGCTCGGGAACCTTAGTGAGTGCCAATGATCAGTTAGGCTTATTTATTGAAAGTACACACTTCGGGGTAAAAAATATCTTTTTTGCTGCTTAATAAACAACCAACTTGGCACAGTATTTCTTAACTAATTCTGCAGGATAATTCTGTCTATATATATCATTAAAATTGTATCAAATAACTTGTTAAAGTTTACACTTTTATAGTTCGTTCCCGGTTTCTAACCCCTTATCACGCATATCGGACTTGGTTTCCTCACTTTTGGTGCTAAGGTCGCCTTTTCGCACGCATCGTTCAATATAAAAACAATCAACACTAATTGGAAACTTAACAGTTTACACTGCTCCGTAGTTGAACCCAACTGCTTTTAAAGGTAAGGTAAGCCTTGACTTCATCAAGAGGGGGTCTGCAAAGGGGGCCCAATCGAGCTTGTTGTTTATTATCGAGTTAGCTAGTTCAATGACTAAAGTACACTTTCGTCAATATATTTTCAGTGGAAAAATCCGGCCCGAACAGAACACTCTGGGACCTCCCACACGCACAAGCCAACGTCCCCTAAATAGGGTGGGAGTGTAGGCAGGACGAGGAAGGACTGATGAGGTGCTTCGTGTGGCAGGACGTGCATATACACATTAAGACACTATCAGCGCGTGCGTTTCATTTCAGATCTGAGTTGCTTTCATCTACGGGTGCCTGCCAGCGCCGCGCTTCTCCATTCCCGCGATGTTTTGGCTCGCTAGGATAACACTAATTTCGCACCGCTAATTACACTTTTTCAGTTGGCAGCCCCCACCCCGACCCCCAATTTGCAGAATTATGCTGAGTGAGTTTTGCTACTTAACTCATTTGGGAAATATCGTAATAAAAATTACCCCGACTAATGTTGTTCCGACTGCAATGTTGTAAGCTTGTAGCTGTTGCCGCTTCCGCTGTGGCAGGCAGTTACTTTTCATTTATAAAGAGTTTTAGAGAGGAGCGCGAATGCCGAATTGAGAGCAACGTCCTTCTGAATGCTGCAAAATGAGGTTACCGAAAAAGTGCACAGACAGTGAAATTAAGAGTGGGACGTTGAATATTTTAAGGAATTGGTTCAGCACATAAGCAACTGTGCACATTAGCTAAATATTGCAGATAAAGCGGATAATTGCAACTTGATAAAATAAAGTTTTTTTGTAGTTATTAATTAGGATAATTTATTATATAAAAATAAGTCGAGTTTTCTGCGGGGATCAAATAACTCCAGAACGCACGAACCGATTTCCACGGTTTTGCATTCGTTGGAAAGGTCTCGGAATTTGTGATTTTTTGCAGTAAAGAAAATTCAGGAAAAATTGCAACAGAAAGCGGGAAAAACATTTTTGCATAAAGCGCCAACACTGACACATAGCATGCCATAATTCTCTACTCAGTTTATTTTATGACAAATCGAAATTGTGTTCAATTTTGAGTAAAATAAGTTATTCGTTTCATATCAGTGCAATTGGAAACCAGCATTTGTATTTAGGGTGGTAAGTTGAACTGTGTAAATTATGTGGATTAGAGGTTAAATTAACCGCTCTGCCTATAGTCGAAAATGCCTATAGCACGACGTGTGAACATCGGTCTCCGCACAAGGCATGCATGCCAGCAACAAGTGTATTCACAGAACTTAAGCGAGGAGAGACGAAATGTAGTAAGGGAAAATGCCCGATTGAGACAACGCGTGGGCACACGAAGATCAACTGGTTTGCAGCATCTAAGCGGATCCCAACCAGCGTGGCAGTCTCCTAACAGCAGCCTTCCTCGACATAGCCATCGACCTCAGGACAAATTTCAAGAATCCTGAGATAAAGTGCTAGAAAATATTCGTTATCCGAAGGTGTCGGGTGAGACCGTGCCCCCGGTGTTGCCCATATCCGTTTTGTCCACTGGAGGGTCCCAACAGTTGTCCTCTCAGAGCCCCAGTTCCCTACCAGGGTGTCAGGCCCGGACTACCGTCCGAAATTGGTAAGGCGGATAATCAGCTTACCTTGAAAAAACCCCTGATGGCAATACCACCAACGAGACAGTTTCATCTTTCCTCCATTGTCGGAACTTCCTATTTATTGAAACCATCTTTCCGCTATTCAGTTGGTCTCTAAAAGACTTTCGGATAGGGACCACTTAGTAGTTCTAGGTGATTTTAACATCCCAGGGGCTCTTTGGTCCCTAGATAATTCCATTAACCACAATACATCACAAAAAATGTGGTTTACCAAAGAACACTTCAATTAAACGGATAATTTGCCGAAGGTGGCGTAACGGAGTTCGCCTGGCTTACTAGTACATTATAAAAGTCACACAGATGAAGCTAGCTTTATATACACTTTCTATAAACTTGGACAAACGAAAAACTATATGAAATAGGCCCATGGTGAGGGTTTTTGAATAAATTTAAAAATATTCAGATGGCAGCTTTAAAAGGAATAAAAAGATTTTTTTTTTAATTTCTATAATTGGATTGTATGGGCATGAGAATTATTGGAATTTGTAGGCTAAATTAATCCCGACTATAATTAGAAAAGGGTCCCGCACATTCTTGATTAAAGCATTAAAATTCTTAAATTATCTATGAATTGTCAATTCTGATACATGGGTTCCAAAAACAGTCGGGTTATGCTTTTAATAGGATTTAAGACTTTCAATTCTTTCACAACAAAGTTAAAAAAACAACAACTTAATATTGCTTAATATTATGAATTTAAATCCTAGTTAGTTCTTACGAATAATGTTTATGTTTGAATGATAACGATTATAACTTTCAGTGATTAAATAAAGAATTTAGGAATAAAACATTTTAAGACAACTCGACTTTAAATCAAGAATTTAGAGTTTGTGAGCCCTTTTGTCATTGATGGGTAGTAATAATGAAAAGCCTTATGGGAAAATTCTTTAATTTAGAAACGCAAAAATTGCGATACCTTGAAGTAAATGGAAATATGTTTAAAAACAACAAAGCTGCAATTAAAATTTTTAAAAATACTCGGATAATATTCATGACAGCTATAAGATATGGTGAACCGATAAGAGAGGCCGTGTTAAGCGAAGGCCAGGTGAATAGTATAAAGGTATTTAAAATGTTAATCACTTACCTTTAGCTAAATAACAAATTTTATGTATTTATATATTTTATTGATTTTAAAGATAAAGTGGCTTTTGATATCGGAGCTTATCTGCAGAAAACGTTATCCTTGTAATTCAAGAGTATTATTCAACCAGAGTGCCAAATTAGAAACTAGGTAAATAATTTGTCATTTATAAATGTATCTTACCTCGTTAAAAGTTATAATTGTTTTATAATTAAAAAAAAAGAGACAAGTGAGTGAGTACAACTACTCTTCTCCATCTGTACTTTTGGTCACTCGACTGTACCTTTTTACCTGTTTTTAAAGCTGATTGGAATAATCGAATGAAATAGTTAAAAAACGCGCTTGCGGCCAAGTAAAATTAATTTTCCATTTGGTTTAATTCACAAAGCCTTGCTAAGCACTCTTGATTGTTCATCTTTAAAGATTTTGTATTTACATATAATTTTATCTTCAAGAAAATACCACTGCTTTAGGATTAATTTGACAGATTAATGATTATTTAAATTCATTTCACTGTGCTAAATGTCCATATCCTGGAATAAGCTGTTTACTTTATTTAATGTGAGACTGCAAGTAGTTCTACAGCAAAACTTCAAGATACACCAGTAAAGCTGTACGACAAAAAAGCCTCATTTAAGAGCCACCCTAGACGACTTCAGACTCTTTTTGAGCCGAAAAGGAAGTGAAACTATTCTTCCATGCAACAAGAAACTGTTTTGGCCTCAACCCCACCCACTAGCAACCCTAAAAACCCTTAGGCCGCCTGGCAAAGCGTGCGGGAAGATTAAAAAAGTTGGTGGGATTTTACATTGAAAATAAGCTGTGCCACTCCCAAGTTGCAACGATTTAGCGCAGCACAAAGAAAATCAAAGCGCGAAATAAAAGCGATGCGAAAAAGGGACAAAAACTACCTCGTAATAATCGCTTTAATTACAATTAAAACGGAATTGTAATCTCTTTGTGCTGGTCTCGTTGTTGTTCCTATTATAAATATCCATCCATCCATTCAGGCAGCCAGACAGACTGACGCGAGGCGGGAGGTGAGGGAGATGGCAGGTAAATTAAAGGGGAAAAGGTAGATAACCAAGGCCAAGTCAAAATAAGAATGCTCTTATAATGCTAATGATGTTTAATAGCTATTCCCTTGTTGAAGATTTTAGGGAACCTGCAATTTACATAAAGTTAAACCGTTAAGTAGCCGACCCTGTGAACTTCCAAGGCCTCGCAGCGACCTAAAGATTTTCTGCTGTCAGACTGCATTTTAATTAAGCGCCAAGGATAATGGTGTAGAGCATTTCCTCAGCAAAACATACAGTTTAAAAGGTGTATTTGCAATTTTTAAAGGTTTTATTTAAACTATTTTATACATTTTAGTGATAGACTTTCATGCGGATGGTGGTGTCTCATATGGCACATAATACAGACTTGATTCACGCAAGTGATGGGTTTCCTATATGGCCTGGGAGCTGAAAATATACAAAAAAGGAAATAAATTAGTTTCATATTGGATGACAATATCCCCCACTACCTCCAGCCTTTAGTGTAGAGCCCCCAATTAACAATTTCCGTCACCAGCAATAAATCAATTTGTACGACCACCTGGCCTAATTAAAAAGCCTCAGAAACTATTAGCCGTAAAAAGTTTTTTCGAAGCCGACAAAGCCCTGCTCTCAAATGTGCTGTAAGGTGTAGCAGGCAATTAGGCAACGACCAAAAAACAAGGGCCCGCTTATGAGTGAGAGGTAAATGAAAGCCAAATATTATTTTGGGTGCAAATGGGAGTTGAAAAAGAGTCGCTCCGCTGAGTGAGAGAAATAGTCTGCACCCATGTGGAAGTGACAAAATTGCACCAAATTGACAGTTCTCGAACACTTGACCAAATAACTGGAAGGCTGGACATGAAGTCGCACCTGCTTCGGTATAGTGTGGATGGACTGGTCTGGAGAACTAACCGCTTGCTTGGCACGTTGGTAAGGATGGCGAAAAGTTTTTGGATCTATATATGGGTGGAAAGGAGATGAGGTGGAGACTGGTGGCCACAGCAAAACCTACTGCTCCTTGACCTGTGTGTGGTCTCCGCATAAAGGGAATCGCAGAGCAAATGCAGGATGAGCAGTAGCAGAGGACACTGTGGATTTTACGCACTGCTGAATAAGCAATTTGCAAAATGTCCGAGCCAATAACATAACAAATGACACAGTGACTCCTCAGCCGCAGCAGCAGCAAGAACAAAATTTGCGGTGTAGCCATGTCTGGAGGAGATCGGCTGAGCGGAAAAAAGGCTGAGCTAGGTGATCTCCTAGTGGATATTCCATTAATTGAATCAGCATCACAAGGCGCAAATTAATAACGCATCAGCAGTTTCATGAAAAAAAAACCGACCTTAAAGTGCACTTTAAACATTAAAGAGAAGCATTTGTAAAACCACTTTTCCCAACTGCTCATTCCTGGACCTAGGGGAGCGTCAACACAACCGCAAAACATCAAACTGCCGAGCGGCGGACGACATCCTTTGGGCTTGGTCCAGACTTCGGGGTTGTGAGGCTAAACGCAAAAGCGTATAATTTACAACACACCGTAGCGATGGGGAAAAGGACGAGTTTACGTTAGTGGTTGTGACTGGCATGGAAGTGGGGGAGTGGACAAAAGCTACAGGCCGGCAATTGGGAATGATGATCATCATAATGATGAAGGGAGTGGATGTGAAAGATGACTATAGCATTGGCAGTGCCAGAGAGGGGCTACAGCGAAGAAGCTGCACGCATAATTGGTGTTGGACATCTTGGCTGCTTGGCACATGTGGACACCATGTGAAAGTGGGTAATGGGTGAAAACTGGTGAAGCTGCGATAGAAATGGAATTTTGGTCTGAGGCAGACACGCCGGAAATCAACTTAACACAACCGCAAAAGCGCAATCTCCTCTTTGGCCAGCCACAGCAGGGGCCGCATCCTCAGACCCCGAAGTCTTATTGCGGCCTTGCTTATATGTGTTGACATTTCCTGATAATTGGTATGTCCATGTTAGGGTCCTCCTATCCCTTGACTCCCCTTCTGCTTGCATCATCCCATCCCGTCTCCCAAGCGGCACATTAAGTTCCGCATAGCCTGAGAAAAATTGACTTAATGACGCCTTGATGCAGCTGCAAATCTGTATATGGTCATTTCTACAGAAATGTCAACCGCAACCAAACCATTAAAACTTTTCTAAAATCATTTTTTTTTTTTCAATAAAGTTGTTTCATTTAAATAATCGTTAAATAAGCGTTTCGCTAAATTCCGTGTTTAAACAGAAGCCGACTTGTGACTTTTGTTTTTGTAGCGTGCGAATTCTTTAACTTTTTTAATATTTTGAATTCATGTCAATGCTCAGAATCAACCCTTGATCCAATTATAGTCCGAGGCAAAAGTTAACATTAAAGCATTAAACATTTGTTCTCTTAGTACTAGGCTTTATTTAAAAATGGTACATTCGTTTCTTTGTACTTTGAATGCGTACGAATATAGCATTCGAGATTATCCAAATACCGATTTTTTGCAATTTTGTTCTCTTTTTGATTTTCCGTTTCTAAAGCAAATACTGAAAGTAAGTCCGGGGTCAAGCTCTTCGTCGTGGGCTCCTAATGATGTGGTAATATGTTTCTGCATGTAGTCATCGACCTCAGCGTGGCAGTCTGAGCCATGCCAGTGAGAATAATAATAAAACTTATGCTAGTAAAAAACACAGGAAAACGTAGATATCCAAAAGGATTGTGTCCTATTCCTGTGGCGAATTAATAATGTAAATACTTTATAAAAACAATAAATCGTTACTATACAGTAGGCAGAGGTCAATGTAAGCAGAACAGCTCACCAATTGCCTAATGAAATTAATTTGGACCAAATATTAAGTGATTGGAACGTTGCTAACGAATCATAAAATCGAAAGCTTCAGACAAATAAATCTTACATGGATTAGACATGTTTTTAAAACATTTGAAGATGCAAAACGCAAATAACTGAAACCTTGCGTAGAAGAGGAGCCTTTTTGACCAGTTAGAGTATTTAATTTAAGAACTGAGACTGACTTCATCGTAAATTTAAAAATGAGTATAGGAAAATAAGAAAAAGCTTGATGTTTTTTATATAAAAGTTAAATTCAGCACTCCTGTTTTTCTATTTTTGGTTCAACTACAAACGGCAAGGGTATACAATATATCTTTTATTGTTGTTAAAGTATAGATTAATTTCTATGGATAAAATATTCTTTTGTTAATCTCTACTCACATTTAGTAATGTAATTGTATTCGATCGAAATCGGTCAACATAGTCGTCTAACGAAATGTTGGGTCAACTATAGCAAGTGCAGAGGAGTACAAGTTTCGGCCTCCCGAGATGAGCTTCCTCCCTTGTTTAATTTTTTGTTAGTTATTAATAAAAGTAAACAACTGCAGAGGAGAATAAATATTTATATACCACTCAGCCACAACTGTAATGAAATTTGTTCCTATCGCACGTCGACTCTCGGCTCGGCTCGGCTCGGCGTAATGCAGTAATAAAGTTAGGCTTAACGGCGTTTGCTTTTCTTTGCATTTCATTAGGGAAATGCATAAGAGGATGCTAGTTTGCCCTCCTGTTTTCTTTTTTAAGATCTTCTCTAACTGGTGGCGGCACAATCAGTCGCCATGTTAGCATGTCGTAAAGTGAAGTTTAAGAGAGCTTTTTTAAAATCCACATATAAGTACTAAACAAATAGGGCAATTTCTTTGTGAGTAAATATCCATGCCCATCGAGTTTTGTCACTATTTATTGCTAAATAATTGCTGACTCTTTTAAAAAACGTCCTTCTTAAAACAACAAGACCAAAAAAATGTTCAAGATTTTGTATCTTTTCATTCGCCACACTGCATTTTTAAGCAGTTTTTGCATTTTTATTAGCTTAAAAAATGTTTGTAAAATATATAAGGACGTCATAGCCTGTAAGCCCCAAGCAGGATTCTGCTGATTGTGAAAAAGCCGGCAAAATGTTATCCTAATGAGAATAATATTTAAAGACAAACTTTGACTACAGCCACGGAAAAAGTTCGCTGAAAGGCTGCGAAGCAATCAAAAATATGAATTTAAAGCGACGTGTTTCCACTTGGCTGTTCAGCAGCGAAAGGTAAACGAGCGACAAATTCCCTGCAATTATTTAGCTTTCGTCCTTTGAACAATTTGGGTGTTAGCAGAGCGGGGTTTCCCTGATTGATATGCAAGGTAATTGTGAAGAATCCAGCGCGTAGCAGTGAGGATGTCCAGTGAAGCTCCTACCGGACAGTAACTAGCTGAGGAATCAGTCCCATCATCGGCAACTCTGGGGAGCAACGGTTTAGCTTTATGATTGCAGTCCGTGCACGTCGAACTGGAGGCGCAGCGCGTCATCAGTTCCGGTTCCCTTGACATGCCCTGAAGCCATTAATACCAAGGCGTTGCGGGGTATCAGAGAGGAGGTCGTATGTGTCTGCTTGCTTCCGCTCTGCCTTCCGTCTTTCGTTTGCCTCCATCCACCCTTCAAATTAACCCCCCTCATAAGCCGCGCCTCGCTTTTGCCTTTTGCCTGGCAAATTTCCAATCGCAGACGGAAACATTTTGCAGTCAGAAGTGATACCGGCGCAGCGGAAGCCAAGAGGAGGCGCCTCGTTCGCTGGAGCTCATTACAAATGCAGCATCCCCACCAGGAGACACAGGCAAGTCTCAGTCCGTAAGTTCCTGCCCAGGTCCCTCCGTCTAACTCCATCGATGTCTCCGATTATTGCATAAAATGCCGTATTAATGGCTGTCAATATTGATACTGCTCATGGTTATAGCCATCGACATGTTCATTGAAATAGGCATCAGCATCGGCATCGGCATCGTCCTCGCCAGTTCTTTGTGTGCACCGGCCCCCAGGCTCCGGCTAGCATTATTATGCACAGAGCAAGAGGCCGATGGGTATTCCAACTAGACCCGTCACTATCCGACAGAGGAAGTTTCCGGCCAATAAATTATTAGTATAGTTGATGAGCCGAGGGAAATAGAAAGAGGCTGCACAGCATATGCAGATTTATGTGACTGGTTATGGGTATCGGGCATTCGATCACATTATGCGCTTCCTGGACGCACAGCTTGTGTTGGCTACTGCTTGATATGGCCCCTTTACTCGGTTCGGGCATGTTCTCGGAATAACTGCAACTAGCATATGCAGTTGGGCCTTTCCTTCTGTTATTGTTATTCAAGTCTGTTGGCCGTTGATTGACGTTTGAATTCCATTACACGATAGAGAAGGGGTCAGATTAAATGCAGGAATTTGATCACAGACATAGGGAAGTTCGATGCATTCCAGCAATAAGGGAGGTTATATAGGTTTCAATTTTCAAAATATCTGGTCAATTGCTGCTCTTCATTACTAGTAAACTTCGCAATGAAACTAAATAAATGTCGCTCTCAACATACGCATAGTTGGCATTCTGT